GACTATCGATATTCTCCCGTTTGAAGCTATGGTGAAGAATCGATTGATAGGGGAAGCCTGATGATCGATACTCTAACATAGGTTTAAATGAGAGGTTAATCGATTCATCGCAACGCACGCGAGGATGAGAGCGGACAGAGCCCCCGCGCGTAAAATTTGATCAGAATTGATCCGACTCGCTCGGGGGAAAAAGACGTATGAACACTCGAACGCTGTCAAATATCTTCGGATTAAATATTTATCATTGAGGAAAATCATGAGTGATCGTGACTGGTGGTGATTGTCACTGGTGTTTTTATAAAAGATGTACACTGGAAAAAACCACATTGGATCTAGAGTCCAGACTCTTGAAAACATTGGCAAGAAAAAATACTCTTGATTCAATCGGATTTTGGCTTGAATTAAAACGAAATCCGCTTAAATTAAGAGGCTTGGTTCTTGATTTAAGCTAGATACTGATTGAATCAAAAGTAATTTTTCTTGTCGATGTTTTTCAGAGTCTGGACTCTAGATCCGATGTGTTTTTTTGCCAGTGTATTGGTAGACTTGGGACTTACACTTACACTGGAGTCTTCGTTTTCTGACTCAAAAAAGAAGCCGAATAGGAGGAAAAAATGAAAAGAGACAAAAGAATTAGACAAAAGAAGGAGAAAAAGAAGTAGATGACGAAGAGGAAGAGGAAAAACGGAAGAAGAAGAGGGGAAAATATACCAGGAAGAAGAGACATTCGATAAAAACTAGAATGAGGGTGAAAAGAAAACAAATACAAAAAAGAGGAATTTTATCGCTCTTTTTTCCTACCTCTTCTTCTCCCTTCTGTGCTTCTTCTTCCTCTCTACCCTCTGATTCTCATTCCTTCTCTTCTTCTCTCCTCTTTAAAGCTGTTTTCTCCTTATCCTCCTTTCCTTCATCTGCATTTCTTCTCAAGTCTTACTCTTCTTTTTTTCTTCATTTTCCTCGGTCTATCTTTCTTCCCATCTCCGTACGTCCGTCTAACATCTGTTGAAAGTCGTAAAACCCGAGTATGTCTCGCTGGGGTTAAATTTCGAAACACGTGCCTTGAAAATTCGGAGGACAGATTTCAAGAATTTTCCAGAAAATCCGAATTCCAACCTATGAGATGTGGCAACATTCGAATGCTCATACGACGTTTTTCCTTAGCACGACATTGATCAGACCGAGTGTGATGGTATTGCCCTTTCCTATTCGGGACTTGCGGTGGTGAGAATATGACGCAAACACTCCTTAAGACTAATTACTTAATGGAAAATCTGTTCCGTATTGGCTATTTTCTCGATTGATATTGCAGCTGAAATTGAGAGCAAGTAGTTTAGCTTTCAGCCGATAGATCGCGTTGAGATCGCCGGCCTGAGAGCTAATAATTTGTACCGTTTTCCTCATTGATTTTGCTCAATTGAAGTCATCTTTCCTGGACCTTGCTACTTGCCAGATAGATTGTTGGCATTTTTGACTAAGTAGCCTTTGATTTATTGTGTGTTGTATTGTTAGCACTAAGTTGTTCATTTTATTCGCGAGAATTGGCGAGCTTTAGTTTTTGGTTGCCCGGCCACTGATTCCTCCTAATCAGTGTCTCTGGGACGAGTTACGTAGAGCGAGAATCCCAACCCGGCGATAGCTAGATTACAGACAAGTTGCGTCTATTTAGCTATTGTCACCTCTTTTGAAGAGAGGCCCGGACCGGACACTGTTGCCTGAGCACGTGCTCCGTGTTTCGTCAGAGTTTTTGTGATCAACCTTGGAGTCCTCAAGCCAAAGCTAAAAAGGCATGTTGAGCCTATGGTTTTGAATCTAT